ATGCAACTGATTTGAGTAAAAACTTTAATGTTAAACGCGATTCCGGAACGAAATTTACCATTATTGAATTTTGCTTACCATGAACCGATCGGCGTTGCCACGTAAATGGTAAACAACTGTTACTTCAACGTGTTGCATACCTAAGCCCGCGAAAACGGTCATGTCATAACGGACAGCCAATACCATACTTTTGACATCGATCAGTCAATTGATTATAAATTGGAAGTCCGATTAGAAGCAGATTGAATGCCATTGTCTTTCTTACGTTCCCCTTACTTTTCTCCTCAGGCTCCCAGATTTTTGGTAGGAAGTGAGACATTTCTCATTGGTCTCCCCGTGGTTTCGATGGACAGACAGGCGGATGGTCACGTGACCACCAGAAAAAAAAGACCTTGAGCTGGATTTTCGTTAAAAACAAACTGATCAGTATCCTGTAGACATCATGTGCTACAAATGAATAAGTATTTGTGATCAAGTAATATATAGATTTAGCCAGGGCTAAAAGCGAAGCTCCTATATATTAACTCGAATTCATGATTTAAATCAAACAATAAACTTATTTTCCACAATTCAGTTAACTTTAGAGCACACTCATGTGACTTTTGAGGGAAAGGTTAAGTGATTTTAGAGTAAAGTAATTTGCAAACAGCCCACGCTAAGAGTGAACTTAATCTTACATCGAGTTGATAGCCTTTTATGTACACCCAAAAAATAGCAATCATCTTCGATCACATTTAAGAGCGCGGGCTCTTGATCACAGTAGATTAGGCCTGAAAAAAAATTCTTGGAAAACAAATCAGGCCGAATTTTTTGCGTTCGACAAGTTTACTTTACAAAATCTTTCCAACAAGTCTGGGGACGTGTAACCCAACCTTTTATACTTTTTATAAATCACATCTGAGGTGAAACAGTACCATGAGGCGCTGTTTTTATCATACAAAGCAGTACAAATTGCACTCACTCAATATTCAGGATTCGAAGCGCGTTTGGGCTTTTAGCGAAACCGTTAAAAAAATTTCCAAAATCACCCATACGTCTAGCCGGTTCTCACTTTTGACAAGCGCCAAAGTCGACTGTTTAAATTATGATTAATAGAGTTATACGCTTCAACATAATAAAGAATTTATTATGTTTATTTTTTATTTAATGGTTTTATAACGATGTGTAATCGTCAAAAGCGTTTGATACGCGCGGCATTTTGACTACTCCTGCATGCAAGCGATGTTCATGAGCGACTGAAAACAAACGGCACAGCGATAAAAATTGCAAAAGAAACTACTAACAATCAATTAAAAGGAAAATAATTCGGTGAAACATATACAGGGACAACAATTTTCATTCACGGAGACAAGTATTAAAGTGTCTCTGAAAATCCTTGTTTATGTTTTTCATTTTGTAAGCCGGCTTCCCGGTGTTTGCTTTTTCAAAGATGAACTCGAGGCAAGAAAATCGCTCAAAGCTTTCTTTTACAGCCCAATTTATAACTAAATCAGTATTCTTTGGAACGTTTTCTTTCTATTTGCGGTGAGAAAATGGGTCCGTGTGGTTTTCGTTCATTTGATTTTCATTCAATATTGAAAATTGAAAATCAAAACTTCACAATCGTGATTTTCAATTTTTGATTGCTCGAATATTGAAAATCAAAAATTTACAATCTTAATTTTCAATTTTTGTTTCTAAGAAAAGTAAAAAAGAAACTCATTTTTCAGTATTTTTAAAATCAAAAATTGAAAATTGAAAATGGCCAGTTAGTGATTTTAACTTTTTTTTTTCAATTTCCTCTTCCCAAGATTCATGCTTATTAAAAAGTTCAAACTAAACAAAGCTATTCAAGTGTAATGAAAATACGCGAAACAGTATTAAAGCTGATGAAATCCAAAATGAAAATGGTTTTTTGATTTTTGTATTTATGAAAAACAAAAATTGCCAACAGGCCAAAAATATCTGTGACGGGAGGGGAGGGTAAAACCGGAAGTGGCGCGACTGCAAACAAGATGGCGGTCGCCCGCCTTGTAGTGAAGGAGTGTTCCGTGTCTTCGTCGAGCTTTCTCTAGCGGAAAAGTTGCGCCAACAGCAATCCAAAGCCTGCCTGTATCATGGCTGAGACGTTTTCCAAGAAATGAACTGAATGTTTTTTCACTTTTGTTGTAACCTTGCAGCATTACGTTACGCAGGGTAGAGCGTTTCAGATCAGAAAGCATAAACGAGGGACTGTGGACTGCGGACGGCGGACGGAGGACTGCGGACTAGGTATCTATAAAAGATGGACCAAGAATAAAATGCGAACTACGTGCTATGCTTTAGTCGAATAATATTGATAAGAACCAATGAGGGCGTGGGGATATATTTGCGCGAGTGTGTTTTTGCCCTTAATAAGGTGCCAGCTGTGTTTCATTAGAATCTTTTTGAGATTCGGAGTTGCAGGATAGAAAGTCGTTACAAACGGCAAAATCTTTTGTTTTGGGTTTATTTTATAAAGCCGCATTGCGCGATTCGAAGAGGATTTCGGCTAGGATTGTTTCCACAAGGTCGTGAGGGTAGCCTCGTTCTGTAAGGCGAGTTAAAAACTCTTTCTGCTTTAACTCTAGTTATCGGGAATTATTTCCTAACCCAGTTCGTTCTGAGTAAGTGCAAGGCTATTCCATATACGAAGCCCTTTTTAACGATGAGGGGGTAAAATGAGGAGAAATTCGCATATTAAAACGTTTCTGTCGGCTTAAGTAATGTGTTTGAATCGAATGAATCTTGGTCCTTTAAAAACTTCAGTGGTCAAGGAAAACAATCTGTTTTGATGACAGTTCGTCAGTGTAAAGTTTATTGTCGTGTGGAAAGAGTTCGCGAAATCAATAATGTCGGTCTCAGGAAGAGTCCAGACTGAGAATATGTTATCAATAAATTTCTTCCAACCGGAGAGATGGCTGTAAGGGCTCGCATGTAGTATAGTTGTTTCTCAACGCGAGCCATGAAAATGATCGAGAAAGCAACCGCCATTTTGGTGGCCACTGTAATGCCGTGAGTCTGCACGTAGTGTTTGTCGGTGAATTTGTCGGTGAAGTTTTCTGTTAAGATCACCCGCATTAAGTCTTCGAAATATGAAGTAAGGATAGGTAACTTTGACTGATAATGTTCTTCGTAATGGTGACAAACAATGTCGATTCCCTCTTCCTGGGAAATGCTAGTGCAGAGAGAACACACGTTTAACGTAGCTTAAATTATTTCATCTGGAAGAGGCGTGTTTTCAATGATATCACTTTGGTGTGCAGTGTCCTCGATGTAAGACTCTTGTTTTTGCACGATTGGCCTGGTAAAGGCGAGTCCACAGAGCTAGAAATTCGTTCTTTGGAACCACCGCTACCAGAGACGATTCAGTGGTCTGCCGGCAGGAATAGTTTTAAGTATTTTGGTCAGCGTGTAAAACGCTGGTATTCTTCGGGTGATTTTGGCCAAAACTGAGCCATGGGTAAGTCATTTGAGTAATATGCCCGTTTGTGAACAGAGCGTTTATAGCTGATATCACTTTTCTGGCTTGTTTGCGTGTTTTGTCGTGATTTTCACTTCACATTAACGTTTTTTGGTCTTTTACAGAAAGACCTGTTCAAAGGAAGGTGATGTTTGGCGGAAAGTGTTTTCAAACTTGTCACTCTTATCACACAAGGTTTGACGTCTTCTTTCCTCTCCCGTCCTGTTGCGTAAGTTCACTAATTATCATTACATTAAGACATAGTACGTAGTTCGCATTTTATACCTGGTCCGTGTTTTACACGTACCCAGTCCGCTGTCCGTGGTCCGTAGTCCGCAGTCCGCGCTCCATTTTTATTAAGAGCGATTTTCTGTAAGGACCGACTAAGGGTATGCAAGATAGAAAAATCCGATTTTCCCAAACTTTGCCAGAAAGAAGGCCTTGGTGAACTGTTTCTGAAAATATAACTTTCGGGTCGTTTGGGGTTTTACTTATTTTTTAGCGAATTTTTTAAATTTTGGCCGTTAACGCCGGCTTTAATCACCCCGAAATATGCACTTTTGAAGAAGCTCCCATTAATACCTTGAAACCTTTCATAAAAAGATTAACCAAGCAAATCAAACTATCGTCTTTTCTCAGATTATCGGTGTCGTCAAATGCAAATAAAATGTAAACGTGAAAATTTGACAGATTTTCTAATTTTACACCTTTCAATGGTGATTACAACAACAGTATTTTGGCTAAATTCAAGGCCTAAAAAAGCACTCTGGTACATTGCTTTGACCAACAAAACTATACTACGAGGAAATATTATCATTTCAACTAAACATCGATGAAAAAAAAAATTGGGGTAAATGAAACGGCGAGTTCTGAGCGCGATTTCAAAACAGGTCATTTTATCAATTATGAGTGACCTTTGACCTTTCATATTCATGGAAATAAACGCCATGAGCTCTGACTTTTGTTTGCGTGATGACGTTTTTTTGGCTCTACCAGTTTGTTTTTACTTAGAAATACTTACCTTTTAAATTTTGAGCCATGCAATTAATTTGGAATAGTAAAATTGGAAATTAGAGACAGTTTGCTCAGACATGTCAGTTTTGTCTACCGCCGACTCTGTAGTACCAGTCTATTGATACAACGCAAATGCGGCAACAAATGCGAGGTAAATCAATGTGCGAGGTACTTGACTATGCTTTCTTGGATAGAAAGAACCGCATTCATGGAAGTTCCTGACAAAAATCGCCGAGCGCATATATCACCTGAACGTGCAACATGAACAAGTATTGAATGCCACAGGACACCCAGGATTGGATATGGTCGCGGAGAGGTCGGGACATCTTTGGTAGTTCAATTTTTTTTTGTTTTGGACTGATAAAAAAATCTTTTCTCCTGGATTATCGAGTTGTTCTCCGTAAATCGAGAAGAGCCCGCATTCCGAAGAGGCAGCACTGGCTTACTTCTTTGTCTTTAATTGCACCTGTTAATTTGTACAGTGCAGTTTATTCATTGACTTCATTCAGTCATTGTGTACTTGCAAATGGCTTCGTGTGAGTATGGGCAGATTGCAGGAGGAACATGTGGTTCTAGTGTGGACAATCCGGAAAATGTGAAGAGCGTGATCCTCGCCAAGTGTACAAAAGCCGTACAAGGGCATCTACGTTCTTGCAACATTCGAGACGCTAGTTTAGACTCTGAACCAAAGCTGTTGTTGGCACGTGCAGGTACGTAAGGTAGATGTCTGTATTAAACAGGCCATCGTTAAAAAAAAAAAAAAAGAAAAAATAGACGCATAATTTAAAGAAAGGAAAATAAACGCCTCCCAATCTTTTTACATCAAGAAGAATCGGTATGAGACTAAAACTAAATGTAATTTAGCTGCATCGTGATCTGCCTTCAGACTGTTTTTATATTTTGAAAGGTGTCCGCAAATTTATCGAAACATCACTAGTTTTCCTACGTCTGCAGCCTGTAGATTTTAATTATTGTCCATAATTTACACACTAAATAAAACTGGACGATGTTCAAGGTTTAGTTACAAGGGTAACGCGGAAAATGACTTGAAAGGAAGGCTTAATGAAGCGTGACGCTCAGCACCTGCTTTGATTGTTTAATGTCGTGTACTTCTCATTTTACTGCATTTCATATACAATTTTTACCCCGTTAATTAAGGGCCATGATTGCAACTTACAACGCTAAAATATTTTTAGACATATTCCTAAAACACATAGCGTGTTATTCAAGAATGAATTTTACTGACAAAGATATGAGTGATAATTAACCCGTGCAGTAGCCGACTTAATCAAATTAAGATCAATATCAGAACATCTGAGCTGAGCCAAAACGCAAAAGTAAAAGCCTCCGTGTTTCTCAGTGAACACGCAAAATTTAAACTTATTCCTGATCATTAATACTTCAGTGCGTTGAGAAGTTTATTTAAAAAAAATTATTAATATTGCCTACATTTATAAACCATCTCAGATTTATCGCGAGCATTACAGCCTTGTTTGTTTCACAGGAACTTTAAAAAAGAGAGGAACAAAAACTGCTTTTGGGATGACTGGACGTCCAAAGAAAAATTAAAAATAAATCTTTTGATTTATCTTTTGGTGCATAAATTAACGATAAACGTGGAAGAAGCGAATAAAATGTGAATGACGCTGTGATATATACGCTAAAAATTGTTAAGGAAAAGGCACCTTACAACCTTTTTTTATCTTTGAAGGGATTTTTGAGTTAAACGAAAGTCACCTTGAACTAACAATATGCCCAAGACATCGAGACAAATTTGGCATTAGATGGCGTTCAAGTAAGAGGATATGCACTGCTCCCAGTGAATGGTCATCGCATGGAACTTTAGTGTCAGGGGAGAGAGGAATATCGTCTCTACATTCCAAGCTACTCTACCAGCAAACCCAAGTGTTGCTTCCTGTAGGCTCCCGTGAGTGTTAAACCTGTAGTGATATTTTACAACATTGCCGGGTTTAGAGCGTAAAAAAATGGCAGTTTCAATTTCCTCCACTGCCATTTTTTGTTTTTTTTAAATTCATAATCGGATATACCCCCGCCCCCTAAAGTCTTTAAATCAAGAAACGTGTTACCGAACAGTTTCAACACATAGCTGCAATATTTCAAAAACTAAGAGCATCATGAGCAAAAACAGAAGCTATAAGAGTTTGGCACAGATTTTCTGAGTAATGTTCTGCAATCCATTATTTTTTCCAGAAATCTGCAAGCAATGCAGGAGAAAGTTGGAAGAAGCATCACAGTTATTAGTATTTCCCAGCTCAGAATCGACCACAGAAGCTTTAGGATCTAACGTAGACAAACCGGAAGAGCGGATATCACAAAATATCGCACAGGTAGATAGAGCTATATTGTATAGCTATGGCATGAACATAACAGATTATAACCTTGTCCGAGTGGCTTTTAATAGTTTAGTGAGGTTCAGCAAAAGGCGAGTTTTCCTCCCCTTCCCTTTTGATGACCCCAGCCTCCTTGCATACTACTCCTTTATATCATGTATTGATGCGAGAACACTTACATATCATTGCAGTGGTGATATGTACGCCGTTAAAAAAAGTCATTCGCTCTACAGCGGCGACATCGAGTTTATATATTTTTCTGCGCTAACTAGTTCATTTTCCTTTCTAACGCGTACAGAGAGAAGATGTGGAGAGTGAAGAAGTTGAAGACAACGTTAGCCAGTCAATGCACCAGCTGACCTTAAGAGACGAATACTCTCATCCACAGCTTGACGAATCAGGACACTACTCCGAGATCGACACTAGCCTGTATCAAACGGACTCTCAAGCGAGCAGCAGCAGCGAGAGTTCTAACGGCGATGATCCACAAATTAGTAGTCAAGTAACAAGACGTTCTCTGTTGAACGATTTCTTACGTTCATGTAACGCTCATACAGTCGGGTCATACAAAAAGCGATGGGAGGCAGCCAGCGAACGTACTAGAGCAAGCCATGTGTCAAAGGCGAAGTCAGTTATTGTTTCTGGCCTTAACGTTATTGCTCCAGGAGACGAAGGCTACCTCTGGGAGGCCGTGAAAAAATCTGGCTCAGTCGAGAAGGTACTTGGCATCGGTGAACGACAAGAAGACCGAAAATATCTAAAGGCACTGGCGGAGTCTTACCAAAACGCATCTACCTGGGAAACAAGGCGTCAGATATTATCAATCATGGCAGACCTGATAACGTTTAAGCGTATCCTAAACTACATTCCAGGGATCACCAAATACCGGTTCAAAATGGCAAGACAGCACTCTCTTCAATATGGGCGGGGTGCCTTGCCAGCCCGAGCAAAAAGTCCTAGGATGAGAGTAGAAAATAAACAGTTGGATCACTTTTTGACTTACATAACTAGCCCGCACGTGATCCAGGATCTTCCTTTTGGGCAGCGATATCTCCGCCTATCTTCTGGAAAGATACTAGAAACCCCAAATGTCATTAGGGCGATGATCCCTAACAGGCTAGTAAAGCAGTACCAGGCTTATTGCGAGGAGACGAATTTCACTCCATTCAGCCCAACAACGATGTTAAGAGTCCTGTCTGCCTGCGGGGCGACCGTAAGGAAGTCCTTGCAAGGGCTCGACTACATTGCTTCGGATGGCGCGAAAGGGTTTGAAGCTTTGTGTGGAATAGTGGACCAACTTAAAGAGAGAGGTCTGGACAGAGAGACTGCCAAAAAATGGAAAGTGTCTCTGAGGGAAGGCAAGCAGTATCTGAAGGCTGATTATAAGGTATCAGATACGGTTTAAAACATGGTTAACTGAAAGTAAACCGGAATATATAACGAACTGCCACGAGACTGGCAAAATGGCAAAATCTGTTAACTTTGTCGTGAGGGCTTAATTAAATCCGGTGGGTTCTTTTCCAAACTAATTATACAATTGTTGGGCAAGAGAACACCGTTCTCTATACTGGCGACCGTCTTCGCCTTGCTAGGTGTGTACTTTATTCTGCCAAAGATTCATATTTTCTAATTGCTTTAACCAAACTTGGCAAAAATATTGCGCGTACAATAGATGAAAGCTCAGAAACTTCAAACGGTCACTAAATTTACTACTTTGTCTTTTTTGAAGGTTCATGTATCCGAGTCCTCCTCGGTTGCAGACCATTGCAGCGGATACGCTCTCAGCGATAGTAAGGACGATGAACTAAGATCCCAATGCTCTCATAATCATGACATTCAGTGTCCACAGTGTGAAAGTCTCAGTAATGTTCTTTTTTCAATTAAAACATTCTTGACTGAGTCAACGTTTGTACCTGAAGAACTAGAAGACGTCTTGTACACGCATAGTCATGCAGTCCAGGCAATCCACTCCTGGAAAGCACATCAACTCAGGTGTGTCAGGCAAGATACAGCAAGGACGGCGTGCTTGAGCGCTTTAGATGAGACCTCTGTACTCATAACACAAGATTGGGCTATGAAGTTTTTACCGCTCAAATATAGAGAAAACCAATCAGATTGGTACGGGAAACGAGGAATATCGTGGCATATAAGTGTCATCGCAAGAAAAATGAGAGGGCTTTTAGAAAGTCAGTCCTTCGTCCACATAGTTGAGAATACATCACAAGACAGCTCAGTTGTAGTGCGAATTATTGAGCACACCTTAAGGTCGCTGAAAGAGGAGAATCCTAGAATCAACAGAGCATTTCTACGGCAAGATAACGCGGGATGTTATCACAGTTCTGCTGTAATAGCATCATGCACCCTAATGAAGGCAAACACTGGGATAGACGTTTGCAGAGTAGATTTCAGTGACCCTCAAGGAGGCAAGGGGGCTTGTGACCGAAAAGCCGCGACTATCAAGGCCCATGTCCGCAGGTATGTAAATGAGGGCCACGACGTGCAAAATGCTGAACAGCTTCAGACAGCTATCCTGTCTAATGGAGGTGTCACCGGGGTTCGCGTTACTGTTGTTAATGCTGCCGTTTCCGCCTGTGAACTGCCTCAAGTAAAACTCGATGGTATCAGCACATTAAACAACTTTGAGTACTGCAAAGACAAGTTGACAGTTTGGAGAGCTTTCAACGTCGGAAATGGAAGGGAGATCAGCCAAACGAAAGTTCAAGGTAAAAAAAATATACGGGCATAGTGATATATAAATGTACTGTATTGGAGTGTTGCAAATACTCACTGACTTAGTCAGCTAATAATTACGGATAACGGGCAATATTAACAGAGTATAAGAGAGTCTATACTAATGGCTACTATAGACAACTCAGTCAGTTGTGTACATGATAAATTAACAAACCTTTAAAAGACGCGAAAAACGTTTCATCTGAAATTAAAAAAGACTTCCATTTCAATGTTCGCTTTTTTAGTTGCTGATGTCTTACAAAGCTGCAAATTTACTTGCCGATTTTCCCCTGGTGACTTTGTAAAAGCATCCAAGGAAGCCTCAAAGAAACCAAGACCCAATGAAACGATGGCAGTAGAAGAAACGAAAGACTCTTGTGTCTTGTTCTCCTGCCCAAATGAAGGTTGCATCAAGGTATACGAGAGATACTCGAGTCTCGAAAGGCATATGTCGTTTGGCAAATGCGAGTTGATTCCGGAGAAAGAGACTTTGTTGGACAGGGCTAAATTAACGTACCACGCTATCCTTCAGGACGATATTGGCATTGCAAAAGTATTTGAAGGAAGGGAAACGGAGAAGAAGCACGGTGTCAGTTTACCTGAGGGTTGGGCATTGAAAACTGCAAAGAAGTCGTCACGGTTTAACGAATCACAAAGAAAGTACCTGGAGGAAAAATTTGAGCTTGGACAGCAAACAGGCCACAAACAAAACCCTGAGAAAGTGGCGAGAGATATGCGTTTTGCGAAAAAAACAGATGGTTCGAGGCTGTTTTCGAGTGATGAGTTTCTTACCTCGCAGCAGATACAGTCTTTCTTTTCAAGATTATCGTGCAAGTTGCGTCACGCTGTAGAGGTTAGCGACTCAGATTTACAAGCTTCTCAGGATGAACAAGAGTTTTGCGACACCCGCCAGGCTGTGTTAGAGGAAGTACAGCTAGAACATCCCATCGCTTATGACAACCTAAACCTTTGCGAATTGACCAAGAAAGGTAACATGAAAACACTCAGCATTGCAATGCTGAAGAACATATGCGAGTATTTTGATATCTGCACGGAAGAATTTAACCCAAGGCGCAAGGCAGAGTACCTTGCCGCGTTAGGGGATCTAGTAAAAGGGTGCGGCTGTAACGCCTAAGAGTCAAATTACTGTTAACAGTTTGGATAACAGTTGTCAGGAGGGGCCGCATCTCGTTTTTCGAGATGGTTGGAAAAAAAAGGTCCCACCTAGTTTATTTTAGCTCGTCAGATTCATCACGTATAAAAAAGCTTCAGTTCCAGTTTTTTTTATGTACACGCTGACCTCTTTCTAAACTTGTACCTACTGGTGACCTCATACTTTTGCGCATTCCTAATTTTGCGCAATCCCCCCTCCCCCCTTCGCTCCGCGGACCGTGTCGTCGGATCTTAAAATCTATTGTTTTGTTCGAAAATAATTGTATTATTACAATTACTACTTCTAAGCAAAGCGATAACTTGACTCGTATTATAATCACTTAAACTGACGATGTTTATACGTAGAATTAACGGGAAGCGTTATGATCGTATAAGACTAAGAGCAGATGTGAGAGAAACATTGTTAATTTAACGAGCGCTTCCTAAATCTGCGCTCATCTACCCGATGTTAGATTTTCCCTTAATTCTTACAGGATTTTGCTGACAACGAAAGAAAGGAATCGATCCATACAAGTTTTGTTTAATTTGTCTTTGTGGGTCCGTAACCCGGGGGTTACTCGACCAATACTAGGGTATATGTGAGCCGCTGAGGATTTGAAACCCTGACCCTGTTTAGGAGAAACAAATTGCAAAATACATACTCTGTTTATGATATACCCTGTTTAGAACAGAGAGTTCAAAAACCATACCCGGTCCAGCGGCACATATAAGGGAGTACCCCCGGGGTCCGTTATTCCTGCGCGTCGTTTTTACCTTGAGTCTCAGAGACTTTACCCAGCACTATTCAGGGTAAGTACGATTATTTAGGAATTATCCTAACACTTAAGTATCTATTATAGAAATATCCCGTGCCTTTTGTCAGTATAGTACAAAACACGCAATATTGCTAAAAATATAATGAGACTTGCGGTTCCGGAATACACTTGACTGGGTGTACTGTGGCGTTTCATGGTCAGTTGTTTTTATGCAAATTGTGTTAGCGCGCGAGTTCGATGATCTCTTCGTACTTATCTAATGAGTGCTGTGGTTTCGATCCAGGAAAAGATCTGTAAGGTAGGAAGTATTTTATAAGCAATTGGTGAATTGATTAACCTTGTAGCTGATCACCTATTTGTGTTGTAAGTACAAAGACAATCGATTTCTACTTCACTGGTAAACAAACCGCAAACGCCTGAGCAAACTCATATTTTGACTTTCCAAATTCTCTTTTTTAGGGAATACAGTACCAGAAATTGAAAAGACTAGTATCCTTAATTGGTAATATGCTAGAAATGAGGAAACAGGCTTCATCATGCAAAGGAAAATCGGAGTTAAAGAGCTCTGGGTTTCTATTTCCACTAATTTGGAACCGTTCCAAGTTCAAAAGGTCGCTCAAAAATGGCCCAGGTAACCCATTTTGAAAACGCTCTCAGAACTCGCCGTTTCATTTACCCCAATTTTTTTTTTCATCGATGTTTAGTTGAAATGATAATATTTCCTCGTAGTATAGTTTTGTTGGTCAAAGCGATGTACCAGAGTGCTTTTTTAGGCCTTGAATTTAGCCAAAATACTGTTGTTGTAATCACCATTGAAAGGTCTAAAATTAGAAAATCTGTCAAATTTTCACGTTTACATTTTATTTGCATTTGACGACACCGATAATCTGAGAAAAGACGATAGTTTGATTTGCTTGGTTAATCTTTTTATGAAAGGTTTCAAGGTATTAATGGGAGCTTCTGCAAAAGTGCATATTTCGGCGTGTTTAAAGCCGGCGTTAACGGTCAAAATTTAAAAAATTCACTAAAAAATAAGTAAAACCCCAAACGACCCGAAAGTTATATTTTCAGAAACAGTTCATCAAGGCCTTCTTTCTGGCAAAGTTTGGGAAAATCGGATTTTTCTATCTTGCATACCCTTAGTCGGTCCTTACAGAAAACCGCTCTTAATACTGCCCGACTGAAACGCTTTACCCTGCGTGGAGTAATGCTGCAAGGTTACAACAAAAGCATACTTATCAGCGAAAAAATATTCAGCTTAATTCTTTAAAAACGTGTCGGCCATGATACAGGCAGGCTTTGGCTTCCTGTTGGCGTAACATTTCCGCCAGAGACAGCTTCACGAAGACACGCAACACGGAACACTCCTTCACTGCAAGACGACCGCGATCTTGTTTCCTGTCGCGCCACTTCCGCTTTTACCCTCCCCTCCCGTCACAGATATTTTTAGTCGATTGGCAATTTTTTGTTTTTCATAAATAGGAAAATCAAAAATTGATTTTCATTTTGGATCTCACCAGCATTAATTCTGTTTCCCCGCAGTTTCTTTACACATGAAATTGCTTTGTCAAGTTTGAATTTTTAATAAGCTTGAATTTAAGGAATAGGAAATTGAAAATACAATTTTAACTTCGGTACCAGGCAAAAATCTCAAAATTGAAGATAATCGTTTAGTTTTCCTTTTCCTTAAAAACAAGAAATAAAAACCACCAACTGGCCATTTTCAATTTTTAATTTTTGACTTTCAAAACATTGAAAATTGTTTTTCAATTTTATGTTTCTTAGAAACAAAAATTGACAACTGAGATTGTAAATTTGTGATTTTCAATTCTTGAGGCATCAAACATTGAAAATCACGATTGTGAATTTTTGATTTTCAATTTTCAATTTGGAATAAAAATCAAATGGACGAAAACCACACGGACCAAAATGTCTAAAGGCTTTTTAAAGTTCTATAAGCTTATAATCAAACCTGTTACTCGGTCAGGTCATTGTCTCAAATCTTAGAATTAAAAAACAAAATAAAAAACAAACGTCAAATACAATAATTACTCAGGCTTACCATTCGAGAAGCACTGAAAACTATCAAGTAAGACCAGAATCGCTTCAGACTTTTCAACCCTCTTACGCATCAAGGAAGGTGAAAAACGAAAACGATGCCATCCGAAATCGGATTTCTGACTTTGACAAGCGACGTATTTCTCGACCAAAAACCCAATAAACAAACTAGCCATGATAGCAGCTGAATTTCATTTTGTACATTCAGTGGAAAAAGACAGTTAAAAACATCACAAGTTGACACAAAACTGCGTCAGCTTCAGCACAGTAAACAAGTTTCAAGATGCTGCATAAATTTTCCGCATGAACTCACCCGTCAAATTTTGACCAATCAGAGCATAAAAATTGGACGTAGAGCGTGACCAACGCGTAACCTTGGTGAGAAAAGTCAAAAGCAACTGGTATGTCTTCCCTGCCTGTAAAAACTGGCTGAATTTTAGCTTCCGAGGTCAGTTTGAAATCAACATTTTAATTGTGCGGCACATACAAAACACAACATATTTCATATGAATTAAAAAAAAAATAAACTTGAGCCTGGGATCATTTGAAAACTAGTAACTTGTCAGCGGATAACTTCAAAAAGATATTCGACCTCGATGGGTCGACACCTAAGCCCGCGATACGATCAGGTCAGCGGATACCCTGTTTTGACAGCTGTCAATTGATCACAACATTGATGTGCAATATATGTGTGCAATATCAGTCTTCCTGTGCTCCCAAACTGGCTAGAAAGTGTGAGGAATAAACACTGGTTTCCCTGTGGTGCGGACGGGTAGGCGGGCAGTGTACGGTCACGTGATTACCAAATTTTCTGGGATGGGTAGATTTACTTACCCATGGTGCTCCGTAGGCGCGCTTCGCAAGCCAGAGCTCCGCTACTATTTAACTAACATTAATAAAATTAACTTTTAATTTTTTTTTTGGCATAAGCTTACCTTTCTCTACACCCAAGTTTCGAGGTTTTATTTTGTAATTTTATTCCGTAATTTTGAAGTTAGTTATTATATCAATAATTTGCTAAGAACTGATCCAAGGAAGGCTAATATATAGATCAGTAGCCAGGGCTAAAAGCGAAGCTCCCGTTATTATACTTATAATTAACTAGAACAAAACTCGAGCAATGCTAAACAGCGACGGCAACGAAAACTGCAAAACATCAATAGTCTAATTAGCAAAAAAAAAAAAAGGCAACTTTGCACGTGCAGCATACTTTTTACTCCGGCGGAGCGAAAGTTGCAAAGTTGAAATCCGACTGTCCCGAAGTTGAAAAGTTGAAATCTTCGAGTCCTTTGAGGAACGAAATAATTATGAGAAAGTATTACTTCTGGAAGAAAAAAATGAATAAATAATTATTATTTCTGGATTGCCCAGGATCTGAAAAGGCTTACGTGTGACCGGTCAGATCAGATAAGTCTCTGAAATTGGGGGATTAGCCGATTGCGCCACTGCGACGCAAGATAATTTGTGATGTGAAAAACAGCCATAAGTTATGCACAAGGTACGGGAAAGATTCGGCAGGAAAGTTTGTAGTGATACCGGAATGCGTTGGACATATCGCAAGATCACTTCTAGTTATTTCAGCTACTATAAATATTTGAGGCGGTGCGCGAAGTATTAATATGGACTTTAAGATCCAAGGACGCGGATGGCAACGAGAACGTCGATAAAACAATAGGATTAATAAGCCAAACAACAGCTTTGCTCGTGCATCACACCGGTGTTTTGTACATTTTTTTTTTCCGTTTCTCCACTACTACAACGTGAAAATGCCTAATTTCCCGTTTTATTTTAGGACGTAAACAAGCAACGACGAAATTTTATTATTGTCACTTGAAATTCAGCTTCAAGAGAGTTGTCTACATTTGACAAAGTGAGTGGGTAGGAATAAGTGCTTTTAAGACTGAAACAACGGAAATTAACTTTTTACGCGACGTTCTCGTTACCTTTGGGTTATTCGATCTTAAAGTGCCTATTAAAGGTTTTGCGACGTTCAGGAATGTTGTTTACTTGCAGTTTGTTGCTTAAGTTAGAGCGGAAGTTGTTCGAGATATCTTGAGATAAGCTCAAGTTGTTTAGTTTATCTGAGAAAGAAAGAAATCCTAATTTGGCTTGCGCGGGGCTATCTTTAAAATAAGGAACGGGGAATTTA